ATACTTTAAAGTCTTGTGCAGCAGATTTGCCTAATGCAATATGTCGTTTGATGTCTTGACTGCTGAATGTTGATGTTTCATCTGAGCAAAATGAAGTCTTTGACAACTTCAATCATTTACAAGGTATTATTTATTGTTGGTGGCAACCTGAGTGTCCCTTGTTTGGAGCATGGAGGGGTAAAATTATGTAATGGATGCACATCATAGAGTTTATTGTGACCATTAGCAATGGACAGATTAGATGTACACATGGCAACACAGATGAATCTTAAAAACATAAATAATAACACTACCGTTTAATTAAATGCATGCACACAAAAATTCAAAATTTATATGAAATCCTACAAAAAGATTCAACACAAGAAAATGGTTGACTGGCAGGAAGGGAATGGAAGTTGAGCGTGGGAATTGAGAATAAAGGAGAGGAGCTTGTGTGGAATATCAGTGATGGAGTGTATGCTCGGAATTCAGGCATTGAGAGGCAAACAAGTACATTTTTGTATTGGTGGGCTCATATTCTCTGGGGGGAGACCAGTATATATATATATATATATATGTTGTTATGTGTCGTGGAGTCGGTTCCAACTCATAGCGACCCTGTGCAGGGTTTCCGAGGCTGTAAATCTTTACGGGAGCAGAAAGCCTCATCTTTCTCCCGCGGAACAGCTGGTAGTTTCGAACTGCTGACCGTGAGGTTCGCAGCCCAATTTGTAATCACTACGCTACCAGAGCTGGGTGTGTCTATTGTTGTTAAGTGCCATTGAGTCGGTTCCAAGTCATAGAGACTCTGTATAGGGTTTCTGAGGAGTGGCTGGTGTGTTTGAACCATGGATCTTGCGGTTAGCATTCCAGTGCTTTTCCTACATCATCACACCAGGCCTTCATGTATGTATCATTGTGAACTCTAGTCAAGTATATTTTTGGGATAGGAGGTCTATGGTGAAAGTCAGAAAGGTCCATTTTGTGGATGTACTCTGTGTGCTGAACTCTGAAGGGTAACAAATCTAGTCTGTGTTTGGGGTTGCTTAGTGGGAGCTCTGGTAGCGTCGTAGTGATTACGAATAGGGCTGCTAATCTCACGGTCAGCAGTTCGAAACTACCAGCTGTTCCACGGGAGAAAGATGAGGCTTTTTGCTCCCGTAAAGATTTACAACCTTGGAAACCCTGTACCGACTCCACAGCACCTAACAACAACAACAAGTGGCAGTGCAGCGGCTCCATAAGATAAGCATTGAACTGCTAATCACATGGTCCATGGTTCCAGACTGCCAGCTGCTCTGTGAGAGAAAGATGAGGTTTTCTACTCCCACAAAGATTTAAAAGCCTTGGAAACCCAAACAACAACAACATGGATAAGGAACTTAGAGTTAAAGAAGTCCATTTTCCTTTAATGGGGATCTCCGAAATCATCAGTCTATCAAACGGATTCATTGTAAAGGTAATTTAGACACTGAAGTCTGGGCAGGGTCAAATTGTGGACAGCAGGCTCAGATACTCCTTGGTGTGAATAAATCCTTTGTGTACTCTAAAAGTTCTTTCTGTGGATCAAAGACTCAGCAAAAGCCATTCAGAGATTGGAATATACACACTTGGAAGACTGGAGCATCCTGTTTTGTTTTGTCTTTTTTAAAGCTTTTATTACGTATTGAGTGAGTGAAGGCTTACAGGGCAGAGCATCAGTTTTACAATCAGCAAATAATTGTAACGATTATAATCCCCTCCATGCATTCTTCCTGTTGTTGTTATGTGCTGTCGAATCGGTTCTGACCCATAGCGAGCCTATATATGGTTTCCAAGGAGCAGCTGGTGAGCTTGAACTGCCGACCTAGAGGTTCAGCCAATATTGCAGTACAGTGCAATAACCCACAGCACTAGTTGTTGTCATTGTTAAGTGCCGTCAAGTCGATTCCAATCCATAGTGACCCTGTATAGGGTTTCTAAGGAGCATCTGGTGAGCTTGAACCACACACCTTGAGATTCAAACTGACTCTGCAGTCCAGTGCATTAGCCCACAGTGCCACACCAGGACTCCAAGAAATACTGTATGACATATATCTTCAAGAAATAAGAGCTAATTTTTCCAAAATTTCTAAGAGCTGGATGCACTCTCTCTCACTGTATATTGTTGTTATTAAGTGCCATCGAGTCAGTTCCGACCCATAGCGACCCTGGATAGGGTTTCCGAGGAGCAGCTGGTGAGCTTGAACCACCAACCTTGCAGTTCAGATGGCTTTGCAGTCTGGCGCATTAGCCCACAGCGCCACACCAGGACTCCCACAGCACCAGTATTTACCTCTATTATCTTTTTTTAAAATTTTAATTTACACATACCACATTGAAAATACATATTTCGTTTAAATGTCCAAAGGGCACATTTTGCAAGCCAGCCTCCTACCCGCAGGCACACTGCCTTTCTCTGAACTCCACGTGCCTTTAGTCCTTTGCTGCGCTGTCTCTCTATGGCATCGCCTCTGTCACCATCTTCGTTGTCACCGCTTTTCTGGTTAGGATCCGTCACTCCTCTCATGTTCTTCCCTCTTGATGGTCCTAGGGTCCTCTGTTCCTGAAATGACAGATTAACTACTCCCCCCTTTTAGTTGCACCTCTTCTACATCTACAGTTGTGACAATTGCTATTAGTCCTGATAACAATTACTCACAATTGAATCCATCATCAGACCCATTTGGACAGGAGGAGGAAAACAGTTCAGTAGGATTTCTGTCTTACTCCCCCCGTTCTGACACTAAGTACCCTCATGAAAGCTTGTAAGCCAGCCACTTTGTGCTTTGATAGTCACTCAGTTTTGATAGTCGAAGTCTAAGTTGCTTGTCCCTATCGATCCAGTGTACTGAGGAGTCATGCTTGATCCTTAATATGAAGAATCCTTCCTTATTCAGTTGGAATTTTGGGCCGCTTCCTCCACAGGCAAAGGTCCAGTTGATCAGGTTGTAACAATTTACATTTGCTCCCCGTATCATACTTCTTTATCTTCATCTGGTCGAATTCTGGTGGGCAATCGTCCATGCTAGGTCAAATGGGTACTGTCTGCAAGTTTGGGAGTTCTCGCATGCCTCTCCCTTCTTCAGATCAGCTGGCTGCTTCACTCTTAACTCTAGCCCCTAGTGGCTAAGTCTGTGTCTTTGGGCTAGGGAGTTCACACAACTCCCTGAACTTCAAACCAACCAGCCCATCCTCTTCTTTCTCCATGTCATCTTTGCTGCATTTCCTCCACTTCCACTCACAAGCTGACCAGGATGATTGCCAGCAAGCATACAGGGCCGTTGAGTTTCAGTCTTAGAAAGGGGTTTACCCTGATGGGCTGACTTTTCTTGCCTCCAGGGCAAACAGCTTGTTTGATATTGTAACAGCCATCTTTGAAGCATCCTGCTTTGTAGAAGATATCTCAGGCAGCCTGGTGGTGGTGGTGATGAGCCATGGAGTTGGTTCCGACTCATAGCAACCCTGCATAGGGTTTCTGAGGCTGTAAATCTTTATGAGAGCAGAAAGTCTCATCTGTCTCCCATGAAACAGCTGGTAGTTTCGAACTGCTGATCTTGTGGTTAATATTCCGACTTGTAACCACTACGCAGCTACGTAACCATAGGCTGGCTTCAGATAAATATGAGAGCTAAAGTAAGAGATGAGAAGGAATGATGCCCAGGAGAAGGGTCCCAATAACAGGCAATTAGATATTGGACTGAGAGGGGGCAGTGGAAGGTTTAATGTCAGGGACCAAAATCCGTTGCTATGGAATCAGTTCCAATTCCTGACTACTCTAGTGGTTCAGTGGGTGCAGTTAGTTTAAGCCTTGGGCTGCTAACCACAAGGTCGGGGGTTCAAACCCACCAGGCACTCCAAGGGAGAAAGAAGAGACTGTCTGATCTGGTAAAGGTTTATAGTCTCCAAAACCCTAAGGAGCAGTTCTATTAGTCAGAATTCACATCCAGGGCTATGAGTAGAGCTACTCTGTAGGATAAAATAGAATTGCGCTGTAGAGTTTTCAAGCTTGTAAATTTTTACGGAAGCGAACTGTCACATCTTCCTCTGGAGCTGCTGATGGGTTCCTACTGGTGGGTTCATAAATGCCACGTTTCCAGTTTGCAGCTAAGCGCTTAACCGCTGCGCCACCAGGGCCCCTTACTTCAGGGAAGAGTAAGGGATAAAATGTATGGGCCCATGAGGCTTAAGTGATTAGAAGACTAGATGTAAGAAACCATGAGGAAGGCAACTGTGATGGTGAGGATATCAGAACCAATTAGGGGAGGGAACACAAAGGACGCTGAGGATGATGCTTCTGGGACTAAACTGAAAGGAAAGGGGAAGGCGATGGGAACCGTGAGACCGATAAAGCTCGCGTGCCGGAGGGATGATGACGTCAGGATGCGCCAATCACACACAAGTCGCCTCCATTCCCGGAAGCGCGCAGAGCGCATCGTTCCTTTAGCTCTGAAATCCCTTCCTCCATGCCCCTCCCCCCGCAGAGGGTCTCAACCAATAAACGAGTACGCCGGAGCGCGCGCGGAGGACGTTCTGTGACGTATCCGCTACGTACGCTTTATCAAGCGTCTTCCCGCGCGGTAGCCTCCTCATTCTCTCTGCTCTTCAGCGTTAGCTGTTACTGAGGCTCTTCAATTTTTAAATTCCCAGGTAAGCAGTGTGTGCTCTGCCGAGCAGCCGCTCCTTGCATCCCTCGCGCTTGGCGGGAACAGGGCTGCGCGTGAGGAAACTGGAGGCCTTTTGAGATAATCGGCTTGGGCTTCTTCGCACGGGCGGGTCCCGTAGTCTTAGATGAAACTTTGGGACTGATGGGAGACAGGCGCACGGTACCCGATGCTAAGGGTGCCTGCCGGGAGTGGTTGGCGGCATTGGTGGCGCGGTAGTGACCACGCGACAGCCGAGACTTGTTACCCAGTGCCCCCTCCCCCACGTGACCGCCGCCATCTTGTTCTGCGGGCGCAGAGGGAATGCAAGGGTGTTCTGGGCCTGCGTGGCTGCACAAAATGACGGGCGTGGTGGCTAGGGGAGTTGTGGGCATGCGCGAAGGCGGCCCTCAAATGGCGACCTCGCTGGGTGAGCCCCACTGATTCCCGCCTTTTCGGCCTTCCTCCCTAGTGTCCTCACCACCACCCACCCGGTGCCATCGAGTTGATTCCGACTTGTGGCGACACTAGGACACTAGAACTGCTTCATATAGTTTGCAAGACTAAATCTTTGGGGGGACAGACAGCCTCATCTTTCTCTTTTCCCCCAAATTTGCCCTCTCCTACTACTTTATCCCACAGGATCCAAATTCACTGCCATGTCCTCTGAAGAAGGGAAACTCTTTGTGGGAGGTCTCAATTTCAACACCGATGAGCAGGCGTTGGAAGACCATTTCAGCAGCTTCGGACCGATTTCTGAGG